ACAACAAAAACACAGCTCCGATCACAGCGTCCTCCATCCTCCTGTTGTTAACGTTGTTCTTTGTTTCCGTTGTTGAACGCCGCGCACAAATGACGTCACTGTCTGTCGACCGGCTTACGTAAACTGTCCGTGCGAATGCAACCCTTTAAAATGGTACTGGGAAATAGTTCGCGCAAAATCGTCCCAGTACTTTAGTACTGTACATTTAGTTCTGGAACTAAAGGTATCGGTACTCGGTATCGGCAAGTACCAAAAATAAAAGTATCGTATCAGGCGAGTACTGGAAAAAGTGGTATCTGTGCATCCCTAATTTAAACGGATGAGTTATAAAAAAAATTCACCCCCTCACAGTTGTCATGAAGGGCAAAATTAGCTATATGGACCAAAACCACTTTTTGTACTAGGCTGTAAACACATTTTTTTTCTGCTGTAAAGTTGGGCATTTTAACATGGGGCGTCTATGGGACTGACTCCCTTTTGGAGCCAGCCTCTAGCGACCAGTCGATGAATTGCAGTTGTAGTCACTTCCGTGTTGGTTTCACGAGAGCGACCGGAAGGTTGCCGCTTGGGTATGTTATATAAATGAAGAGTTCATTTTCAAAAACCGATAACTTTTTTTTTTGTTTTTTTTCAGAAATCACGTTTTTTTTATTGCGCATTCCAAGTCATATCAATCAAACTGCATTTGGGTGTTCTGAATAAGTAACTTAAACAAATACAGGTAATGTACTAAATGTATGTATGTTTTTTTTTACATATTAAAAGTTTGTTTTATAGCAAAAGCAGATAACTCCAACAGTCGTTTTTTTGGCAAAAGCAGATAACTCCACATTTCATGTTTTAGAGTTAAAAAAAACACTTGTTTAATCTTTGTAATCTCCTCAGATGACAATGTAGATGCCTGACAAACGTTGTTGTTGTGATCATAAACTGTATGGATGTGATTACACGCAATACACGGAGCTTTTCCCTCACCAGGTTCCGTGAAAACGTTTCAGCTTTTATTTTCCTTTTTCGCGCTGAAGAAGATATCACAGGTTCATCAAGTTCGTCCAAATTATCCATCCTCGATCACTTTTAATCAGCTTTGACAAAACTCCTCTCAGCTAGCACGTCTTTTCAAAGTGAAAGTAGCCTTGTCACCTTGACCTGAATACAGCGTGCTGAATCGCCTAAATGGACTTCTCGGCTTCTGTTCAAAAACAACAAGGGCACTTGTCGGATTCTGCAGTAAAACGTGAACTCGCGATGCCTTGAAAGTGGACAAAGCCGGCTTTTTTGACAAAACGTGTTTAGGGTTCAGATCGCGCTATATGTGGAGAATAATGCACGGCAATCAGCTCCATTTTTTTTTTAAAGTGCCGTTTATCGGTTTTTGCAAATGAACTTCAAATATACATACACCAGTATTTAAAAATCTAATTAAAATATGAGTACATTTATGGATATTCATTAAGCAAAAATGAATTGGGTGGTTCAGTGTTCTCATCTTTATCCCACAGATTTAACAAGTGCCCAGTGCATCCCTGCTCCTCTGGCTACACCAATCCCAGTAAGTGATGACCCACAGATGCCGTCACTGAGCCCAGTTGTGCCCCAAGATATGCCAGAAAGCCCAAGTCAGGAGCCATCGGGGCGGGTGCCGTACTCTGTGCCTGTATCTGAACACATGGGTGAATGTGTGATGAATGAGGACACCTCATGTCTGGACACCTTGCTGGAAAGTATTCCCAAAGGAGCTGAGGTCAGCGTGGTGAGTGAAATAGAGAGCTGTAGGGAGGAACAGTGGGACATAGTTGCTCAATACTGGATTGATCAATGTAAAAGTACTGACTTTCTTATCTATCCATCAGAACCCAGTTCAAGGGGCCATTCCCACTAACCTACCAAACACTGCTGTGGGTTTGAGGCCTCCGTACTCTCCAGGTCTCCCAGCATCCTCCGCTCAGCTCACGACTCAATATTTCAACTCTGCTGTCAGTCCGCTCCCCCCACTGGAGTCCTCCTCAGTTCTAGGTCAAAGCGAAGCCTCTTCCCAGACGACGGACTCCCTCGGCTCCTTTAGCTCTGGAGCTGGAGACGCTGCTGGGAAGGGGGGGTCTGGATCACTAATCACAGGAGGACTGGATTCCCTTTCTGAGTACACACTTCCTGGTGAGTGTTTTAACTTGAAATGTGATACACACTGCCATTCAAACGTTTGGTGTTTTGGAAAGAAATTAGTTATTTTATTTAGCAAGGAAGCATTAAATTGATCACATTTAAAATGCTACAAAAATAATTTCAGTTTCCACAAAAATATTAAGCACCACATCTGTATTCAACATGGGTAAGAATTAGAAATTAATAGAATGATTTCTGAAGGGTCATGTGACACTGAAGAATGGAGTAAAATATACTAAAACAAAAATCTGTGGTTGCTATTATAGGAGGAAATTTCATTTGAAAATATATTCATATAGAAAACAGTTTTTACATTGTAATAATATTTTACAATATAACTGTTTTACTGTATCTTGATTAAATAAATGCAGCCTAGGTGAGCATGAGAGACTACTTAGAAAAGCAATACAACTTTACTGACTTCATACCTTTATCTAAATAATATATAAAAAATCTTGACATTACAATAGTTCAATATTGATAAATCAAGTCTTTTTTATTACATTCATTTTACTTTTTTTATTAATCTTAGGTGGACGAATGTCTCACAGTTTCATCCCCAGTTTGCGGAATCATAATGCCTCCAATGCAGTGAGTTTAAACTGTTCTGTACTTGTAAACTGCTCAGTCTTACTCAATATGTCTTCTTTGTATGCAACTTTAAATGTTTTAAAAAATGGTTTGCTATCTATCACCTACTCAAAGAATTGTTCTTGCTTCCAGCAGAATGGACCAGTTGGTACCAATCTTTCTCTGCTGTCACGAAACCCTCTGGCTGCCACACATGAGTTCAGACAGGCCTGCAATGCTTGCTACAGTCGCATAGGTATTGTACCTCTTAACTGTGTGATATGAAAAATAAGAACTATTCCTAAACATGTTGTATCTGTCTGAAAGAAGTGAATTCTTTTTCTGTATAAGGGCCACGGGTGATGGACTACCATTATCAACCTGATGCAGCGCATCGCTGTAAGAGAGATGTGCTGCTCTGTCGCCTCAAATCCTCAGATGACCCCACCTGGAAGAGGGTGCGACCCCGTCCTGCTCGTAATAACTTCCTTGGGGCCTTTGTTCTCTGCAAAGGTATGGCTCAGTGTTTATTGAAGAATTGTGGAAATTATGTACTGAATAGATGTTTGGGATGTACATTATTCTAAAATGGGTGTGGCCAGTGTTAAAGTCGGCTAGTGATCTAACGACTCGCTTGCTGATGCATATGCATTGATCTTGAAACATTAATTTTTGAATCTTGCATTGTTTCGGCCAATAATCATTTTAAAATATTAAAAATCAAATGAATTGTGATTCAGTTCAATATTTTAAAATATATACACATTAAATTACTTGCATACACATGATTGTGGCATGATTCACATCCTGACAGCTCTCCCTCGCAGACACGTGCCGCACACTTTTATCGCCTTTCACTGGATTGTGCTCGCTTTCCGTTCCATCAGTAACTCTCATTGACACGTTTTCTGAGTAGCTTTCTGATCACTTTTTGTGTGATCTTTCCTAAGGCCTGTTACTCACAGTCATATGAGCAAATGACGGCTCTCTCACAGTAGTGCTGTGGTCTTACAACCAAATGCTCACAACCCGTTGATGAAAGCTACCAGTTCATTGCGTGGCCACTGCTGCTAAAAAAATTAAATGATTTCGTATTATAAAAATCATATTGCTATTTTCTGTAAGATAAAATACTGTTGTTTTAGTGGTATAATTGTTTATATGGGAGAGCAGAAGACATTGAGGGGTCTTAGGATATAGGGAAAAACCTGGAAAGTAATAGGGAATTTAAAAATGGCACATTCAGTACCAGAAAACTCATGGAAAGAAAATATTTAAAGGAAATATGGAATGTTTTCCTAGGTTTGTTCAGCTCTAAAATATTTTATCAGCACATTGCACTCTTTGATATATATCCAAATAGCCTGTATGTACATGTGTTCAGTGTTTACTTTAAACTGTAATAATTAAGTAGTTTTTTAACTAAAGACTCATTAGGAGAAGCATTTACATAATCTTACGAATGCACTAAAAATTTAGAATCAAATCTATAATTGAATAGAATTCATTGTGAGCAGCATTAAATCTAATTATTCTGAATTTGTGAAATCCAAATGTGGAAATCAAAAACGTGAATTGTGGATCGAATCAATTTGCTGTTTGCCCAACGTTTAACACCTCTAGAATCTACTCATGCTGGAAACAGATATCAAGATTTTATTTTTTTTGTTAAAAAAATTATTATATGTACATATATGTAATATTATGATAATTTATAATTTCATAATGATAAAATTGAATAATTAAGCTCATTGATCATTCTCTCTTTCCAGAGGTACAAGAGCGTCAGGAGTGCCAGTATGGTGAAAACTGCACTTTTGCCTATTGCCAAGAGGAGATAGATGTTTGGACACAAGAGAGGAAGGGAGCTCTAAGTCGTGAGCTTCTGTTTGACCCTCTGGGCACCAATGAACGACGGGCCCTCAGTGTCACCCGTCTCCTTCAGCTCCATATGGGCATGTTTATGTTCCTCTGTGAGGTAATGTGCACCTTCATATTTAATGTCTGTCTCAGCTAGATATGTTACATTCTTGCTTTGATATGTTGTCTAAGTGATTATTCTGGCCTCTGGCTTCCTGTAGGAATGTTTTGACAGTAAGCCTCGTATCATTAGCAAGAGAAGCAAGGAGAATCTCGCTGTGTGTTCCAACCTCACTGCACGACATCCCTTTGATGATAACAAGTGAGTCTTTTTTTTTATCCCTTGCCGCATTGAGACTTGGATCACTGATATGATTTTGCAGCACTTAAACAGCCATCGCATCATATCCCCTCTCATATGTTTGTGTCTTATGATGCTGTCTAACAGGTGCCTGGTGCATGTGGTTCGCTCAGCAAACGTGCGCTACAGTAAAGTACGCCCTCTTCACCCACTCTGCCAGTTTGACGTGTGCCGCCATGAGGTGCGATATGGCTGCCAGCGAGAGGACAGTTGCTCCTTTGCACATTCAGTCATAGAACTCAAGTGTTGGGTGCTTCAGCAGGACACAGGTACATAAAACATGCTATAATAATGTTTGTATGTATGCACACTTCAATCTGCTGTTTTGATTTATAATCCATAAACTCATGTATATATGTTTAAGCTTTTTGTGTTTTGAATGTTCAGTCCATTTAAGAAACATTTTGATTCATTTGAAAAACAATTGATTTCATCAGTTTTGTTTTCAGTAAGATTTTTTTTTTTAAATAAATTAATACTCAGCCAGTATGCATTAAATGAAAGTGATAGTAAATACTTTTATAGTATTTCTAATAAATGCTGTTGTTTTAAAATGTTCTATTTTTCAAAAATCAGTTTTTACAAAAATATTACAGTTTTTCTCGATTGCTTAAACGCATTTCTTGAAACTATGCCTCGTATTCTCAAAACAGTAAACACAAATCCATAACATCTCACCCAATTCCCCAAACATCCTATTTTCAGGTCAAAATGAAACTCTACACTCAAAACCATTCACTCTTGCTGAAAAACCAAACTTTGGCCTCAGACATCACACACAAGCCCTCAAAAACACACACACTACAACATAGTCTTACACACTGGTGAGATAAATGCAAAACAATACAAAAAAAAAAACAGTAATAAGTTATGTTGCTTGTGGTTCTCCCCCTCAAGGAACTTTTCACATAATGAACACGTGTATATATGCACACATTTTTTATTCCTTAATGTACTGTACAGTACAATACACCAAACTTCCTCCACTCCTTACTGCTCTTGCTCCTCCTCTTCCTCCTCCTTCTCCTCTCTGGTGTCCTCGACCTTTTCAATCACATCTTTCTGGATCCATTGTTCCAAAACTGAATGAACTGACTTGGGCTCTTTTATCTATCTATTGAAGCTTCTGATTGGTGTGTGAGCAATTTTGACTCTTAGTGTTTCCACGTGGGTAACTGTGTGCTAATTGAGCTCAAGCTATGCTGACTTGAGTGAACAATATTGAATGCTAGTGCTTTCTAAATGACAACATGGTCTAGGCAATGAGAAATGAAGGGATTTGTGTGTAGAGTTTTGCAGTGACAGTTCAACAAATCTGATTCATGTGTCAAAAAGGGGAATAGTGTTTATAGTTTAGGGAAATGGGTGTGCTTTTTGATAAATGGCGTTATGGTTTTGAAATTTTAGTTCAAAAGCCTGGTGATAGTGTTTAAGCAATCGAGAAACACTGTAAGCAGCACAACTGTTTTCAATCGGGATGCATCGATCCGATACTCAGTATCGGTATGGGCTTCGATACTGGCATTTTCTGCCGGATCGTGTATCGGTCAGACGAGATCGATCCAAATCCGATATAGTGCGTATACTACTCTGTGTTATTGTTAAACCCCACGAAAGGCACAAAAACATTCTAAAGCACCATAAAGTTTTCGTGCACTAGATTTTAAGTGTTCTGAAGCCGTTCCATAGTTTAATGTGAGGTACAGGTGAATATTTAAGTCAAGTTCACGTAAACTCTTCTCCCCGCTGTGTCTATCTGTCATCATCCATTCAGCATTCAAACTGCGTGTCACATTCGGTTACTACAGTCAAAACGTTGAAACTCTCTTCAAGAGTGCACAATAACTGAGATTTAAAACAGTTAAAAGAAAAGGCTTAATAAGATATCGCACAGATATAATATATTACGCATCAATATCTCTTCCCTTTTTTTATGAGGAGCGCTGCGCGCTGTGACTCTATTTTGCTTCAAGCGCATCATTCTGCGCACAGGATGCGCATAAGCGCTTTGAGCCGCTCTGTATTGGAGCTATACCCTTTCGTATTATACTTTTGCGCAATGAAAGATTATTAATAGACTTTTTTTGTTCTGTTCTATCTATCATATGTTGCTGCCTTCATTACTGTGCTATGCATTTAAAAAAAAAATATTTAAATTTTATAGTATATATTTTATACATGTATTTAGGATACTTGTTTTTCATTAATGCATTTTACAATACAAAGAGCAATGTGTAACATTTTACCAGATTTAGTCCTACACTTATTAACTTTTATTTGTTGCCCACTAAATAATGTTGTTTCACTAAATGTTTAGTTTAATGTTTTTATAAAATTATTGTGCATCCATGATTTTTCTAGAATAACGTTTGCTGCTGAATTATATACTAACCTAGTTTATAATAGTATTTTTTGTCATAGATTATTATTATTATATATTTTTTCATTTGTTATTTTTCATTAAAATGAAGTTGTCTATATTTAGCAGATAGTGTTTAACACACACAAGAATGATGATCAGGTCAGCCCACAGAAGTATAGAAATTCTACATTGATTTAAAAAAAATTAAAAAAACCTGCGCTGGTATCAGATCGGATCAGAATCGGCCGATACTCAGAATTTTTGGGATCGGTTCTGAAAAAATGGTATCGTTGCATCCCTAGTTTTCAACTTAATACAATACAATAATAAGAAATGTTATGTGGATTAGGGCTGGCTCGATACCAGAGCATGTGAGCGGAGTGGAGCGGGGAGCGGAGTGGTAATATTTCCTTAAGAGCGCAGAGCGCCTTTCTGAAGATTCCGCTCCGCTCGCTCAATACGCTCAGCGCCACTCGCTCAACCCAGAATGCCGTTTGGTGATTTGCTTGTTCGAGATCGAGAATCTGTAGAGATCGAGAATAGTAGAGCAGTTATGGAGTTCGGATATTGTTTCAACGAAGTTGCAAGCCTTATACATAAATGTAAAGTAAAAATCAAAGTTAAGAATGAGCAGGGAGAAGAAACTGAGAGGGAGTGCGGGGAGACTGTTAAAGTTAGTACAGATTCATATTGATTACAGAGAGCACGAAGATGTGCTACGCAAACATGGTGCAGCAAAAGGTGAGCTAGTTACATACCATAATACGCTCCGCTTCGCTCACATGCTCTGCTCGATACCACTTTTTCAGAACCGATACCAATCCGATACCAAAAATTCTGAGTATCTGCCGATACCGATATCAATCCGATACCAGCGCAGTTTTTTTTAAATGAGTGTAGAATTTCTATACCTCAATGTGTAGGTCGATCGTCACCCTTTTGTATGTTACACACAATCTACTAAATATAGACCGCTTCATTATAAAGAAAAAATAACAAACAAAAAAATATAATCAAAATCTATGACAAAAAAACTAGGTTAATGGATAATTCAGTAGCAAAAGTTACTCTAGAAAAATCATGAGTGCACAATCATTTTATAAAATCCTAAACTTTTAGTGAAAAAATAACACATATGATAGATAAGACGAACAAGAAAGGCTATTAATAATCTTTCACTGCGCAAAAGTATTATGATACTAAAGGCTCCAATACAGAGCGGCTCAAAGCGCTTGTGCGCAGAATGACGCGCTTGAAGCAACACGGAGTCACAGCGCGCAGCATTGAGAAGTTCAAAGCACAAAGTGAAGAGATATTGATGTGTAGTCACTATTGTATTAAATATGTGCATTAGTTTATTGAGCCTTTTCTTTTAACAGTTTTAAATTTCAGTTACTGTGCTCGTGACGAACAATTCATAGTGCTCTCTACTCCAGTCTTGTGATCTAAACAGATATCCAGTAGAAATTTACACGATTTAGAAACTGCACGAATCTCCAGCAAGATAAATTCCTTTTATGCAAAACCATTTATCTTTATTTACAGATCAAGTATAACATTAGAAACATTTAAACATCTTGTAGAGAATTTCATCGTCTTGACTGTCATAACTAGGGATGCAGCGATTAACCGGTTTCACAATTAACTGCGCTTTAAAATGTCACGGTTAACTAATCGTAAAGGCTCCGCTACACAGAGTGTTTCTGTTGCACAGAACGGAACAGTTGCAACTTGCGCAAAACAAAAACAAAGTTACACTAGTGGTGCACCAGCTTAAAATGCTGTGCTTATCAGAGACACGGAGGCTACTACACACACTAGATTAAGTATGACAGAGGAACCAAACGGCGATCCTTTATTTCCACCAGAGAAATGACTGAAGCCGATAGTGTGGGACCATTTTGGTTACACCAAGAATATATTATTTAAATATTGCCGTAAAAACTGCTGCTAAAGAGCGAATACATGGCTTTAAACTATTTTAATGCACGACGTGAAGGCAAGACTGACGCGAAGCTACGGCTCGTTAGCTCCGTATTCTGCCCACTTCAGATCAGACAGATGAAATAGTGTGGTAAGATCACATTTATTTGAATTAATTATAACATTTAGCTAGTTGAATTAATTATTCGATCGAGAGAGAGATGTGAGACGTGAGTTTAGTTACTTAAACAGTGATTTTACCCTCTCCTTGCTGATGAATATGTAGCAATTCAGTATCTAAGCTATTTTATTAATAAAAGTCACGGGGCAGGGTTCACAACAAGTTTGTGTTCTCGTGAATGTTTGCATGTGTGCGCGATCTCCGATCTCACAAACCAAAATAATAGACATGATTTCTCAGGCCACATGTAAAATCATATGGATTATTATAAAAATGATTAAAATGAATATGTATGGATGACAGTTGATTACAATGATAGTTAGTTTATTCCCCTGATTATTAATAGTTTCCCCTGTGGGATAAATAAAGTTAATAGTCCTATATTAATAATACTTATTAACATTGTTATATATTATCCCTTTTATAGTATTATGCATAAGCCAAAAAGATTATTATTTTTTTCACCATGTTTCCAGTTTTCTGCCTCAGGTCCAAAAGAAATGTAAAGAATGTACAAACTGAAAACACTAAATACTTTTGTGATCTGTAGTCATTAGTTATTTTCAAAAGGGAAATACTGACATGGATGCTTACAGAGCATGAGGTCACCTTTTTAATTCCAACTGGAGAGATAAACATTTGTTTGTCTTTATTATTATTATTTTGTGCTGTATTATTGGTTACTGTGTTATTTCTGTTTTTAAAGCAATAAATAACACTTTATGATCTAAAGAGTGTCAATGTGATTTTATACAGTAATAATTTTGTGAAATGAATAAATGCATAATAATCGTAATAATCATGAAATCGTGATTATTTCTCAGACAATAATCGTACCAACAAAATCTATAATCGTTGCATCCCTAGTCATAACCGAACGTGACACACAGTCTGAATGCTGAATGGAGGATGACAGACAGCCGCAGCAGAGAGAAGAGTTTACGTGAACTTGACTTAAATATTCACCTATACCTCACATTAAACTATGGAAAAGCTTCAGAACACTTGAAATATAGTGCACGAAACCTTTATGGTGCTTTATAATGTTTTTGTGGCTTTCGTGGGGCTTAATGATAACACAATAGTATACGCACTATATCGGATTTGGATCGGTCTCGTCTGACCAATACCCCAATTCAGCAGAAAATGCCAGTATCGGAGCGATACCGATACTGAATATCGGATCGGCGCACCCCTAATGTGGATGCTTAAAATACAGCTTTGCTATCACAGGAGTAAATTACATTTTAAAATATTATACATTTTAAAATAGATACGTTATTTTAATCAGTAATAATGTTGCAATGTTACTATTTTATTGTATTTTTCAGCAAATAAATGCAGGATTTATGAACAGAAGAGACCGGTTTCATATTAAGATATTAAATGATATTAAAATAGGAAGGAAATTACTGTCACTTGTGCCTTTTTTTGCCCCGCGCTCTGGTTCATTACTGTGTTTGACAGAGGACAATTGAAAGCAACTGATGGTTTTTGTTTGTGCTTATGTGTTGGGTCAGGTATTACCCATGAGGAGATGGTGCAAGAGTCTAAGAGACACTGGCACAGATTGGAACAGAATGCACAGAGACAGAAGGTGAGGCCGAACAACAACACTGTGCTGTCTAACAAATGCTCATCTTTGATGGAATCTTGTCTTTTTATTTGATTGCTCCTGCAGCAGATTTGATTTTATGTAAATTTTGTTGATTCAAGTCTTTTTTTTTTCACTTGCCATCTTCAGCCCATGCTCGGGCCCCACCAGCCCAGCGGGAGCAGCAGTAACAGCAGTGCTGTGGTCTCCGGAGGAGTTGTCAGTGGAGGAGGAGACGGCGGCTTCGGGGGCGGAAGCACAGGAGGAGGTGGAGGAGGATTTGTAGGATGCGGTCGAGGGCGCGGCTTGAATCTGAAGATGAAGTTTGTGTGTGGACAGTGTTGGAGGGAGGGCCAGGTCAATGAGCCAGACAAGTCTCTGAAGTACTGCACTGCCAAAGCCAGGCACAGGTTAGCCTCCCTTATTCAATCAGGCATCATCTTACCACCAGGATGCACATTATGTGCTCATTAAAAATGTACGTACCTTTAATGTTTACTGGAACAGTTGTAATAAGACTGCTTTTAATGGACACAGTAGGCAGCAGCTTTGCCTGAGGTCAATAACAATGGTATCTGGTGTAATTATGGTATAATGCTTCTTTCTGCTTTGTCTATTCTTCTTTCCAGCTGGACAAAAGAGCGCAGAGTGTTGCTAGTGAAATCATTTGAGAAGAAAAAGTGGGTGGTAGTGCGACCGCTGCCTTTTTCCCGTACCTACCCCCAACAATATGATGTAAGTCAGTCCTTTGTTGATTAAATTATTGTGACCGTAAACAGAAACTGTTCTGTCAGGTTCTTCAGACAAGCAGGTTTTAGCGTTGACACTGAACGGCGATGCTGTTTTCACGATCTGTTAAACATCATACCATGTAATATTTATGGTAATGATGTTATTACCATACTATTGTTAATCATACAGAAATACTTCTTTTCTAAAGTATCTATCAATGGCAATTCCGTATCATTCTTTTCAGACAAATGACAGGTTAAATACACATTTCTAGCAAATATCTTAATACTATTGTAATTATTAGGGTTTGGTGTCGGTATAGATTTCTCAATTTCATTTGTATTCACAAGTTATTGATTTGATTTGTAAATATTTCAGGTACATGACAGTTTTTAAATGTAAAACGTCTCTAATAACTAATACTGTTAACTATACAGGGAACCTTCTCATTACTATTATATTAAATCAATGTTAAAATGAATAACAGCACCTAAACATTTCTTCAAAACGTATCTGAACTGTGTTTATTTGTAGATATAATCATCAATTCTTGGAAAAAACTGAACAAACATTTAAATTAAACATAAGGCAGTTTTTTATTAACTCTATAATGATACAATCATGTTTCTACTCCAATTTGTACTGAAATATAATCATTTAAACAGCTGTCTAGTTTTCACAAGAGATTTCTTCAGACGTACATTAAATGATTAAGACATCACTAACAGGCAAAGGTATATGTTATATATAATAGAGTACATGTATTCAGCTACATTTTTTTTTTTTTTCAGCTGACTCACGAGTTACAAGCGAATACATGTGACATTTAAAAAAAAGTTGTATTTTTTTAATCAAGCATATCTTCTGATATTCATTAACTAGTAGTAAAGTGGAACAGGTAATTGCTTCATTCGTTTTCCAAGTTTCCACTTGAACTGCGATGACCTCAGTGATCTGTCACATTAAAGTGTGTCAGAATTTCATGATAAATTGGACAATTTCAAAGCTGAGACCTTTTTTTTAATGAAAAAGTAAGAACACAAAACCTTTTGAGATTATTGGATGGTGAGCAGCCTACAAGTAATATTTAATGTTTTAAGTTTTTATTCACGCTTGAATAGGAAACGGCAAAAACTAAAATCTCTGATTGTGATATCGGCTATATCTGTTTTGTTAAATCGGGACATTTTCAGCCCAGGCCTCTCAATTAACATTATTTATGTACAGTCTTGAGTGTATCATGAACCACCAAAAGGCCACATCGTTAAGTGTTCTGGAAATGGAAACATTTTACCCCCCCACACACACACAGCGCAGAGTGTTCATTGTTAGCTGAATTTTAATGAAGCACTGATCGTAAACGGATCTTTTCGAGGGCTTTGAACCAGAAAGGTTGCCAGCAAACATAGCTCAAAATAAACTGTAAAAGTTTAAATGATGTTTAACATGCTACAGAATTTTTAACAGATGATTGTTACCCATTAAATATGTCTTTCACATCAATTGGAAATTGTGTATTGTTACATAATCTCTACGCATTTTTGGCTCATACGTATTTTGCATTTTTTTTTGACTATCCGTTTGTGCTTGCAGATGTGTGTTCATGTCATGAAACAGAAGAAGTGCCACTATATTGGGAACTGTTCTTTTGCACACAGTTTGGAGGAGCGGGATGTGTGGACCTATATGAAAAACAACAGCTGTGAGAATCCATTTCTTTTAACTGAATAATTTATAGCTTTATTTTTTTATGCATTTCTGTGGGTGTGATTCACTGATGTTTTCATAATCCATTAATGCGTTTTAATACAAGCTGTGTATCTCTCTGTGCTCTCTTAAGTGAGAGACATGCAGCAGATGTACGAGATGTGGCTTTCACTGACCAATCAGAACCGGCGTGCAGACAGCAACTTAATGACTTCACCCTCAGAGGAAAAACAGATCGCCATGCCAACTGACTATTCTGAGTCAATGGTGGGTGGTTGCAGAAGAAAGTGGTTTGTTTGTGTGATAAAGTGGAAAGCTCTTAGTTTCTTAAACTGCATTATCAGATTTATCTGTGCTCTTTTTGACAGGTTGGGCGACGGATGTCTGGTGGTGGAGGGGATCTGTGACCTGGGCCTGAAAGTGTGTGGTTACAGGCGGTCTGGATGAGTCTTCCTGTTCAGATGTCAGCTTCTAAGGCCCTTTCCCACTTTTTCAGTGCCACTCTGGGAAGTACCAGGCTCTGATGCCCTTCAGGGCAGAGCGCCTGACTATAGGACTAACACAGTGATTGTTGCCACATACACACACCCCACATGCTTTTTCACCCATTATCAAACACATTCGCCCACTCACTGACATGACACTTGGTACAGGCTCATAGGGTGTCATGTGAGTGCACGATGCTACTTTTACAGCTAACTCAAGTAAGGGCAGTTTGTTTTTACGTTCCCTAAACACATTTCTGAGGAGTTGAAGATCTATTCCCACAGTACTTTTTAAACTCAAAACCAAAAACAGACTGGTTGTCCCAGTATTAAATCAAAGCACCTGTCATGAAGGCTACTCATGTTTCAGTCAAGTATGTGGTGTCAGATATCAGATTGAAGTTATGAAGTGGTGCTTAACTCTGTGGTCCTGCCATATTGGTAGAAGAGTTTGAATGTACAGCCATAAGTGGCCATTTACGAGAAATTTGAGATTTGTTCGGATGTCGAATGTATTTGATAAACCAAGGCAATTAATAATGGACTAACTAAGTAAAAACCACCCCCACTTTGCATAATGCCAGTCACAGGTCTTGCACTGACACGCACACATTTCCTCATTGTTTCCATTTGCACTGAGTGACAGTTTGGCAGTGCTTGATAAAGAAGATAGTGCGCACACAAGGGCTGTTTGTAGTCTTGAGTGATCTGACAATTTGGATTGAAAATACACTTGGTATTAATTTTTTTTTTCTTTGATCGAGTGATTGGAGGTTGGAAGATGCTTCCGTGTTTGTTCATTCACGCTATTAGATTGGGATTTGAAGTGCATAATCTAACACCCATAAACATGCTACTCTACTCTTGTTCGCCACAGTTCAACGTGGGCCAGTAGCTCATTAGTTCTCTGTACCGGCTATTGATTTCATATAAGAGCATGAACAGAGACGCGTTACAAGAATATAGGCAAAAGAGCTGTACTTGCCCTGCCTATGTGTAGTTATATTCATAATATACTGTCAAGACATGCAGTGCTACCATTAGTACGCCTTGTCCTTACTTTCAGTGGACATAATATATATATATATATATATATATATATATATATATATATATACACAAAAACACACACAC